TTCAATGAAACTGTTATGTTGAGTTAGTCATAGCAGGTACTAAGAATACATCTGTGAACATAATAATGGTCTGCACAATCTGATTCATAATGCAGTTATCAAAATGAAGATTCTATCTGTAAGAGATCTGTCTCGATTTAAGTAAATAATTTTAAGATTACTTGCTCTATTAAAGATGGAAAGTCAGGATTTTTTAACATAAGCATTTAGACCATGTTTTAACTTCATCTGTGGAATTTTCCCTATTCTGACTAATATGACTCAGTAAACTAATACATTAACTTAGTTTTATGGAGGTCCATTTTCTGCCTATGGGGCTTTAGTAAGTATTGAGATAAAATTTCTCAAAGATTTAATTTATTACTACTTTGGTTGTCTGCTTCTTTTAAATATAAAGGATAAGTTCTTTAGCAACTGCAGAGAATGATGGATAGATAAAATAAGACTGAAATTGGACAAAGGAAAACAACAATTAACAGCAAATAGGTCGTGAAATCTTTGAGTAAAAACAACTTTGAATTCTCTCAAGGAGTAAAGCAGTTTAAAATATCTGAGGTGCTGTGAATATGACAACTATTAGCTATTATAATAATCCACAGTATGAAGTTGATGGTTTTGGCAAAATCAAAGGGGTTTGATTTTTGAGGCGAGGGAGTAGTTATGGGCATTTTGTGCACTACCTCAGGAGTTCCAACTGAAGTTCCGATGTTTGGAACTGAGGTTCCAAAGAAGACTAGCATTCACCATCTTTCTAAAATGGAGAAAAATGGAAAGTTTTCTATGACTTACTTTGAAAGGTAGTTGATAGAGGAATTTGACTGGAAAAACTCGGTCTGCTTTTACTGGGTAGTTTTGCTTTAAACTGTTGTCTACCCCAGTTTTTCTATTATTTGAATGGTTTATACTGCCTATGAGAAACAGATTTTTTTTCAAGTTTTGTAAAACCGTGAAAGTTCATAGTAAGAGAATTGAATGGTGTGAACCAATATTGAACACTTCAGAACTTATTTCTTTAATGGCTGCAGCAGTTCTATTGACAGTAGCTTTTGTGAGTACACAGGGGACTATATCGTTTGTTCCCCCCCCAGCCACTAATCCCCAGTCCCTGAATTCATTTATTTCCTTGGCTACCTAAGTCAGAATGTTTTTGCAAGATATCAGAAACAAGTTTGTGTTTATTTACCACCCATTACTTGAACTATGGCTATTTAAAAACTACCTGGTGTTCCAATTATTTTCTGCTGCCTTCTTGATTCTCACTGAGATTTCTCTTCTTTCAGTGGAGTCAAATGTTGAGCGGCTAACCTCTCCAAAATGCAGACAGAAAGGTGAGAATAGTGCACTTCTTTTTCTACCCTAATTTATTGCTTACAAAATAAAATAGATGCTTAAGGTGAAGACACTGACGTGCATATTTTTATGGTGTTATTTGTCCAGCTATGCCTCTGATGGAAGGTGCTGTCATCACTGAACTTGTGCTGCCTGTTTCGTTCATAGTGGCCGGGTGATGGTGTAAGGAAGTAGACCAGGACTCCCTTTGTTCTTTCCATGTGCAGACATACACCAAACATGTGAGAGTATAGGAATGGTGAGGAGAAAAGCTCATGTGGAAGATTAGGAAGAGAGAATTTCATGAATTCTGTGCTGACAATGCAAAACAAGCAAATGAAAAAAACTCATAGATTAGGTGGGGGAATTAACACAAGTAGAAAAATGGGAGAAACAGGATTCTGAGAAAGTAATTCAAGGTATATCTGCCTATAGGTCTGCCCCTCATTTGCTGAGAATTGCTTTCTCTCCTTTCTGGAAAAAAATATAAACAAGAAACTATAGAGCTGTATGAACAGCAGGCTTCTGGGAGCTGGTACAAATCCACTCTTTATGTTCTTTCATTCATATAAAATATTTTACCACTCATAAAAAGCTGACAATATGAAAGGAGAAGGAAATAAAATATATATACCTGCAGGTGAGAGATACTTTATAGTGGAAAGGAAGCAAAGAGTAGGAAATAAAAGTAGTTTAGCAACCTGTTGGTGATGGAAAAGCTTTTTGAAACAGTAAGACATTCAGTTTAACATTCTGTAAACTTAGTGGTAGCAGCAATACTGAGAGCTTACACAGGAAACCTTCTTTCTTGTTATACAGGATGAATCATTCTCCATTATTTCTGATGTATGCTTTGTTTAATAGGCTCATTCATTAATATTCAGGACTTCTAAGTAAAAACTGAAATGAATTTTCACCTATGAAGCTGTGACTCAAATCCACCTGAAATGACTGCATCCCAGAAAACATCTGTATAGATTCCAAATAGTTTGTAGGCCATCACTGTATGACAAATACCTACCAGCAGTGTTAAAGCTTTTATAAGATTTGATTTGCTTTGACCTTTCAACATCCATGAAAATATTTTAAAACCAGATCGGTTGAGTTGACACAACTGAGAAGTGAAAACAGTAAGGGAAAGCAACAAACTTGAAACACATCACCTCCCAACAGCCTTATTTTAACATACTTGCTAAGGATGTATTCCTAGCCTTTACTTGGACTGAGAAGCGCGCTAGTTAATGCTGTCATGCAGCCAGGTCTCTGACTATCAGTGTATCAGGTGAAAAATTGTAGACAGTTCAGTTATAAAACAGACATGTCCATTAAGCCTTAGTTTCACCAGTCTGTGCTTAAAATCATCGAGTCTGAGCAAAGAAACCTGGTGAGTTTAACCAGAAAACTCTGTGAAGAAATACTTTAGCTGAGAAAACTGAATAGGTTCTTAGTGGGTCTCATAGAAGGAAGATTTTAAGAATACAGAGTCTGGCCTTATTTTCTTATGCTGTTAACAGATTGGCAGAACATTATTGGGGGTTCCCAGAATGACTGTGATGTCAGTAGGAAGTGATGTGTTCATAATATCTATACATCCACAGAATACTAAATTCTCCTATTTTGTATGTCTTTAAATGCATTGACTTCCCAGCTTTCACAGCTTTGAAAACGTGGAACCAGATCTCTGATATCTTCGAGCTTATAATCAGTTCTAGTGATATGGATGCTTTGGATTGTTTCACCACAATTTAGAGTAAATGAAAGATACAGAGTCTCATTTCTGATACCATCAGAATCCATAACAATTATGGACATATATTTGTAGAGTTGAACTGTCATATCCATGTTGCTATAATCCTGCTTATACACATTGTATTTAAACTGTCTGAATATAGAATTTTCATAGAATATCCAAGATTTGCAAGAATATGCAATTCTTTATAGAATATGCAAGATTTCAGTTATGCCAGATCATTCTTTTGGGAAATAAGTAAGTTAAAGGGAGATGTGAAATAAGACTAGAAAAGAGATACTGGTTTTGTTTGGAGTAAGTTTGCAGAACAGTGTTTTGAAGAAATCTTCCATAGCCCTTGTGGAGAAGACTGGAAGACTCTGAAATGAATTGTTTTCTCATTTAAGCACTGCCCTTTTTTTTACAGGGTAGCTCCATTGCTCCGTTATAGTAACAGAAAGCATGGAAGACTAGTGATATTGCAGTCTCTCTTAATGGGAAGGAGCTTAAAAATGAAAGTGTTTTGAAGAGTTAAAAAAAAACCCACACTGGAACCAGCTATATTTGTTAACTTGTTAAACATTTAATAACTGATCCATAGTCTTCCAGAGATCTGCAAGCAAGATTATAAAAAAAAAAGGGGGGGGGAGGCAACTAGAATTTGTTGGACTTGATAACTCTTAATGGAATACTGAACTAAGAATGAATTCTTGGATTGCTTTTTTAACCTAGTGGCTCATTCAGTATTCAGAACTGCTGCCAATTGAGGTTGCTGTTTTAATTGCAACCTCTTGCTGGAGTTGGAGCAATGTTGCAGTCTCTCAAACAACATTCTACTACACACTACAGTAGAAGCCCAACAGTAAGTAACTAGTCTGTGTTTCTTCTGATTTTTTCGGTTTTTGTTGAGTTACAGTTACTCACTATTACTTTTATTATGAGAAAGTTTAAGGGCCAGTTGTAAAGCTTGAATATATTTTGTTCTGATAAAATAAAATATTTTAAAGATCTGTTCTGCTGGGTTCATCCAGTAAGACATTACAGGTTGCCCATAAAGTCAATGAGAGCTTTAGTGTATAACTCTAAAAGCATTTTTATTGACAGGTTTTACAAGCATTTGCTTTTAATTTTCTTTACCAAAATAAAGGATTTAGCATATATTGCTTTCATACATTTAGATGATAAATAAATGTATCTTGAATTCTTTCATGCATTGATAACTTATTCAATACATTTTTTTTTCTTCATTGCCTTGATGTCAATTTTAAATACAGCTTCCCCCCCTTTTTTTCCACACATTATCATCTTGTTACTATATGTTTCCCTTGTCAACTTGTAAATGTTTAAACAATTGGAAAATTGCAATGATATTTATTGCTAGAGATAAAGTCATTCTAGGAGTGTGAAACCCACATAGCAATTTATATACTAACAAATTAGAACCAAAAATAGCTCTGTGTGCTATCAATGGCAGAAAATTACAGAAAATACATTAGGAATAACTTTTAACGTTCATCTCTTTTATCTTTAAAGTCCAAACCCAAAAAACAGGCTAGGTTTCAGACTTCCACAATCTTAATTATAGACCTTCAAGATAATTTCTGAATTTCCTTTAGAATTAACAGTAACATTTTTCTAATTACAAATAAATAGAGGTATCTTGTACTTCATTTATTTCTAAACTACCAAAGTATGCTAAGTGTGTAATTTAAGATCATGAATGCAGTTGCATTCAACTTAATCAAATAACATCATTTTAACTGCATGTGGTATGAGTATCATGGTTGAGGGAAAATAAACTAGGTTGGCACTTAGGGTCTTTAATGGCTCTCCTTTCAGTAAGGATGGTATACATTTGTATGAATAGCCAAGGTTGCTCTTCAAAACAGGATGTTAGCATTGCATGCAAAATACACACAAAAAAAAAAGAAAAAAAAAAGGAAATAAAGCAACAATTCTTGTGCAGTATTGCAAGCTTTAGCTAATGATACATGGATCATCATGGCTTGATTTCACTTCCCCTTCCAGCAGTATGGCAATCACAGCCTTACTCAAGTAACTGCATGTTCCCCTCTTTCCTAATGGATGAGTGTTGTAAAATGCAGTCATGTCATCCTAAAATAGAAGGAAAAAAAAAAGTTCCATTAGCGTTGATTACATAAGGCAGAAAAAGGTTCACTGCAGCTAAATTACAGGTAAGTTAAAAATACAAATGTGTTTACCAGACTCTAAAGGTGTGGGGTAGTTCTGCTTGATTTCAAGAAAACTTGAGAATGTACTTATCCAAGCATGCATGAAAATCAGATTAATAAAACAGTACATATATTCCTTTAGTGAGTTTTCGACTTAATATTTGTAAAATGCACTGGATGAGAGAGAACGAGTGCTCTCCTGGAATGTGCAGATTGCTGCATGGTAACTTCCTGTGCTACCATTGTATGATTTTATGGGCAGGTCCTTCAGTACATGTTGACATGCTGACAACTCTACATACAACTCTAAATTTGGATTCCTCTTCCTAAAAGACAAAAAGTATCATTCTAACTAGGATTTAAAGTAGTATTTATGTACTGCATTTTTGTAGAACTGCTTTTATTCATTCACATGTAGTATTTGCTGCTCTTACCAAGCCGAGAAACATAATCACCACAGGAAGACTTAAGAAATCATGATTGCCTAACTAATGTCTTCAAGGAAAGCTTTTTCTTTTGTAAAAGCTGGTCTTGGGGTAAAATAAAAACCCATCACTTACATGGAAGCTAGGACCTCACCAATATAAAACAGATGTGTGTGGAGGTTTTTGTTTGTTTGTTTTCAGTTTAGAGCTACCTGGCATATACTGTGCGTATTGGCACATATTTAATAGCCAGTGTGTGTGGATGATGCATCTATTTCTGCTATGGCAGCAACCACAGAATCATTATTCTGTAAAATGGGCAGGCCAAAAGAGTCACAACTTGAAGAAAGTTGTATCCTTTTAAAAAACAGAACTTCCACACAGTAGTGTGTTGCTGGGGCTGTGTATCTCCATGTCTTTCAAATCTCATTACAAAAAAAGTAGTGGCAAGATCTCTAGAAGTCCTTTCCAACCTCAACCATTCTATGTGAATACTTGAGCAGCACATCCTTCCTCATCTTACAAATGAGATGAATTTGACTAGAAGTGCTGTTGCTTATTAGTATAGTATGCCATTATCACAAATCTAATAGACATCAAATAGACTTTATGAATTATGACATTATTCAGTGGTAGCATTGCTTTCTCTGAATATCGTGCATAGTGTACTTCCAGGCTGTTCCAGTAAGATGTTCCTCAGTAGCAGAAGGACTTGTCCAACAGCTTTATCCATATTTCCACTTCAGCCACCCAAAATGGGGTTTTATTACAGATTTCCAGAGCTTTAAGGCACTGAAACTGAGAATGCTTAGAGATTTTTGAAGAACAAATCTTATATAGTGAAGTAAATCTTAGAAGCTGCTTAATCATAGTTTTTAAACATCAGAGACTAAATGCTTTCTAGGTCACTAATACAACTCTAGTACAGAAAAAAAAACCTGAACTATCAATTGGCTTTTTATTCTGAACTTCACAGAATTAACAATTAGAAACAATTTCAAGAATGGTGAATTCTGTAAAACAGTTGTATTTTACTCACTTGTATTTCAGCTCCCTTTGTCCTGTTCTGATCTCTCTGAAATTCATTAAATGCATCTTTCACCACTTTGTCCAAGTCCACTTTATCATGGAAAGCTAGCTCAGGGTTTCTCTCTAAAATAACTGATATAACCATCAACAACTAGAAGAGGAGAAGAAGAAGAAGACTGTAAAACCTTAAATTTGATTTGTTAAAATTGAGTTAAATAAAAAGCACATATGCAGTTATTCAATGTTTGATTTAAGCAGGAAGCAGCTTAGTAATGGCACTAGTGTACAGATGATAGAATTCTGACCTTGATAAAGGAATCACAGAAAAAGCAGGCTTTTATGAAAGGTTACAGTTTCTAGGAACTGCCTATTTAAGGACCATGAGCAAATTTTTGACGACATTAACGTTTATTTTGTTGGGAGTCAGGAAGTTACTGTCCAGTTTTTGTTTTCTATGGCTGCACAAATGCTAGTTGCTCAGTTAAAGGAAGGAGAAAGGAGCAAGTGCTGAACTAAGTTTATAAAACAAAGTAGTATCTAAGTTTCCAAAAAGTAAAATGAGTAGACCCAAGAATTTCCACTTAAGAGAATTTAGAATTTATACCTAAAAGAGTTTTAAAACAGGAAGGTGAACATAAGAGACTTTTTATAGTGACTAGAAACAGATATTAGAGTCTATATTGGTCATCTTTGTCTTTGATAACTCTTAGCAAAAGCAACCTATTCCAGCAGGCAGCACAGCCATTAGCTGTTAGCGAGAGTTGAGATGGTTTTGAATTCATCTCACTGTGAGGGAATACTCGCAGACACAGCAGAGACAGGTCCTTGGGAACCAATAATGAATGCAGTAACTGGCAGCAGAGTTACTGGCTTCTGAGGGTAAAGATGGTCTTGATTTATTCAGAAAGCTACATCAGGCGCAGGGTGGGAAAGAAGTTCAAGAAGGGTGCTCTAATGAGCTTGTTTTGCTGTAAGATATTGGAACTTAAGGGGACTGGAAGTTACTCAGTTCAGACTAACACAAAGGGATGTGTTAGACAGTGTCAGCAAAATGGGAAAGAAGAATCAGGACAAACTGATGTCTTTGCTTTACCTATAAAAAAGTGTTAGGAAGAGGCATGGGCTTGGGCCTCTATGGAAAGTGATTCTGGTATTACTCTTTTTACTCATTTTCACCCCTGCTAGCAAATAATCTGCATTTGCACTGTCAACTTCAAACACTTAAACGTGTGCTCTGAGAAGCTTAACAAAAACTTGCATAATCAAACAAAACCTGTGAAGGAAGCACTGAAACAAGTGGTAATAGTTTAAATACTATTTCTTGAAATATTTGAGCCTCAGTTACTTATTACAAAACTTTCCTCATTGTAGGCCACAAACCTCCACAATAATTTGTCTGTATTCCGGCTGGTCGATGTTTTGCAACATATCTTCAACTAAAAGGGAAAAATTCATTTCATACATCGTCATATCTGATAACGTGGGTTGCTGGAAAAAAAAAATAATATTCTTGCTGAGAAACAACTTGTGTAATATCAGACAGAGCCTTATTTACTTTTTGAATAAATAATATACAACTAAGAAATATAACCACTGTTATGAGAGTTTGTGATAGCACAGTTCTGAACTCCATGCCTTGGAGAGGACCTTCTAGTCTTAGACTCTTACAACTATGTTTTGATAGGAATAAGTGACCTCCATTCTACTATAAGTGTACTTAACACAGAACTAAATAGAAAACATAAATAATTGTTAAGTATCAGGAAAGGACTCATTAAGCTGAAGGGCATATTATAGATATTAACAAAAAAAAATCACAAATTATGGGGAGTAGGAATAACTGCATCTCTGCATATTTTACCTGTGGTAAAAAATTTCCCGCTACTATTAAACCATTAGGAGTCCTCTCCAAGATCTGCCAGACCCTGTCGTAGAATCCAGCAGGAGTTCGATTGAGAGAACCATCTATCTGACGCCTGTTCAGCCAGCTTCTGCAGGCAAAGAAAATGGCAGGGTAAGCAGTGACAGCAAGTATCTATCAATGATGCATATGCAGTATTAATAGCTTAGGCCTTGAGGAAAACCAAATCAGGATGCTTAGGATGTAGAGGTTAGCATGTGGTTCCTCTATGCGTTCATGCCGTATGTAACTGCAGTAGAAGAACTAACTCTAAAGTCTATTCAAAGCAGTACAATTAGCAATATTAGGTTGAGTTCATGCCTAGTTGATGAAGTCACCATGAACTAATGCTGGGATAAATCAAAGGTCTCTTGCATATGTAGAAACACAATTTGTTTGGCATCTATGACAACAAAATCTGAACACCTTGCAAAAAGGAGTGATTAGTATTCACTATAATATTTTAAGATTTTATCGTCAATATTTAAAATGATTATACAAGTATAATTCAGGGAAACTGCATCTACAAAATACCATGCAGTGGATTAGAAACACATACTGTTCATTTTAAATACCAGGTTAGGCTTACCCTGGAAAAAAAAATCTATATTTAAATGATAGAATAAGCTAGAAGAATGTAGGCATTGAACAGCAGACAAACTCTTCTTACTGGTGCAAGTTACTGCAGTAATTTTTGGCTGATTTCCTCACATCTAGGAACCTGATGCTTTGCATTCCTGTCAATGTATATAGATGACTACTATCAAGGTAGTGTAGGTAGGATAAAGGTGAAAAGTTAACTGCAATATTAAAAGTAAAATCTGGACACAGCTGAAAGAATGAAGTAGTACATCTCAACTACCTCTCCTTAAAAAAAGAGCATTATTATTTCTATTAGTGTTATTATTGATAATTATAGATAAAATAGATGGTATTGATACTACTGATCACAGATACCTAGTTATTTAAGAAAGTATTTCAGAAATGCAGATTACATGAACAGTCTATCATGAAGGACAACAGGGACCACAAACCCAATCCCCTCATTACCTCCCCTGCTGCTGTGGTTGAAGAATATCCAACAGAAGCTGCTTCACTTCACTAGGGGACATCTGGTATAAGTCCTGGGGTGGCATGTCCCCAGCACGAATTTGTAATTCATACTTCATAGCATGGATAATCCATCTGAAGTAAAATGAGGAAAACATTCATTAGTTAAAACCATTCTCCTACAATCAGGAAAAGCTCTAGTAAATAATATCTTTCCAGAATTGCAGATGAGCTTTCTTGAGTATCACCTGGCTGCCAGGAGATGCATGACATATCGAAGATATATTCTTGTTCTTACTTTGTTATGGAATATACCCAGATTTAGCATTTGTTTGCATTATATATAAATTGAAAGTAGTACTGTGTAGTTTCTAAGAAATAGGTTGTGAAGTACACACACAGTTCAAAGGGAAGATATATTTGAGCACATATTGCCCTGCATCTTTCACATTCATTACAACAAACATTCAGCTGCCTTTTGATGTTAAAATTCCTACTCAATATTATGTTCTGATAATATATGTGTTTTTCTGATGAGTTTAAAAGCTACACAATTAAGTGATTTTATATTTTAATAGAATTTACTTTTTACTTACAATTTTAGTCTTTGAAATTCCTTTCTGCAATTATCACTTTATCTTTTTCACTTGCTATTCCATTTTGAAAAGATTTGATTAAAAATTATGAAATACCTTTCCAGTATTCAGCCTTAGGCATTAAAGAAGCTGAACTTGGCAAATTATGGAAGGGAAACTTCGGTACATAATACAGAAACAGTGCAACCTCTTATATAATTTCAAAGATGAAATAATATACAGATACATCTAAAGAACTAGGATAATTGAACATGTAGCTTATTCCTTTACTACTGTACTGCCTCAGTCCAAGTAAGTTTCTTTTCCCTTTTCACAGTAATACCTAACTAACTTGGATCTTTAAACTGCCCATCATACTACACTTCATTATATCATTTGTCCTATGTCAAAAAGCCATACTCCATTTACTGGAGAGGAAATGCAAGCCAGTCAGGAATACTTCATATTATAGGTGAAATATACTTATTTCACCTCATCACCAGTATAGCCAGGTTCCACAGGTATTGGCTTATTTAGTCTACAGGGTAAAGATATTTTTTGGATTGTGGTTTTTAGTTCTGAAGGATTCTGAGTAACTTCACAGGCTTCTAAGATAGCAGGCAGATTGATTCAACTGTGCTGTACACTGGAGACTTCTAGGACCATTCAACAAAAGTTGCAAGATATGGCAGACGATTAGTCAATGGGGGAATACTACATTATATAAAGTTTTCTATATTTATTTATTTTACTGTGTGAACAGTATATTTTCATCAAAATAAATAAAATTTCGTTTCAGGAAAAGGTTCATTTTTCACTGATGACTCAACCACATCAGTGTGCAACTCATGCAGTAGTATTTTCTGTTTGTCCTGGCATGAGATGATGTAGAGACGTGGACCTCCCACCAAACTCTTAACAGCTAAGAGGAGAATACAGAACCAGTTCATTGGAGGCTTTTACAGTAATAGGCCTGTCAGGGTCTTCATCTATTTCAAACATGGAAGCCTGAAAACAAATCAATAACAAGACACTAAATCAAACTGTTATTTGTGCAGCATATCTGCTGCCACGAGGGAACCTCTCAACATCAGATCAGTGTGCTTCATTGCTCCAAGTATGAGTTTGAGGCCAATTTTCTTCTAACACAGAACCTTCCAACTCATTACACCACTGACAGACTTGCTCACTGTGGCTAATGCAGAGCTATGCAGTCCACAATGAGGTCACTGCCCCCATGGCCCATCGGTGAGCAAGGCAGAACCTTTTGCCCCTTGGCTGATGGCAGGACAAGGCAGCTGGGGACTGCCTGCTTGTGCTGCACCAAGTGTAGCTGTGAGACCACACTACAGTGCTTCTGTTTTTAAGCTCTAACATGATACGGCTTGAACTCGGAAGAAAAAAAGAGAAAAAAAAAAAAAAAACTACAGCTGACTTTGCTATAAAGAAACCTCAGGCAATTATTATACTGCCCTTCCTCCAGAGTACACTGTTAATTGTTAGTTGTATACCCAGTTTTGGCACAGTAATTTTAAGCATGCATATGAAAAAATACAAAGTATACAAAGTTTGCTGAGTTATCTTATATAAACCATTATTGCAATGGAACAAGCTGCAATCTCAGTTGATGCACACCATTAAATTCTGTTGCAATGCAAGTAATAAGAACAACAATCGATCTTTTACTGACCCAACCCGTATCTTCAGCATTCCACTGAAAAGTTCAGGTGAATTTGAGATGATCCA